AAACAAAACATCATACGTAAATCTACATGTCAACATGGCTGCATAGGGCAAACTGTGATATAGTGAGCACTATTCATAACCTAAGTGCATAATATTAAAACATCTTATGTGACAGTGTTTCCTGCTTGTAGTGGTGCGCCTCTGAAGATGATTCTTTTGAATCGAAACATGTAAGGCGAATAAAGACTGAAGTGTTGTAAAACCTGTATGTCATACTGGACTGAAAGTTATCTACTTTGTAATTGATAGTGTGACGGACCAGAATGAGACAAATCAAATCAGAGAACACATTGTGGACATCAGACATATCCCTTCCTCAGGTGAGGGGGGGAGACATGTACTCTACTGGGTCCGAGCTAACCTAATCATCAGACAACCTAAGTCAGTATAACTAGAGCTATATAAATACATCGGACAAGGATATGTGAATGGGAGGTACCAGGAAAAAAGTACAATAAAAATTGTGATAAAGCATCCAGAGGCCTGAAAGCAAGATAGAAAGAAAGGTACAGGCTCCTATTTCTGTTCAATATTGCTAGAGCATTGGCATAGCCTTTACTCTTTATGGAAAAATACACTCATTAAAACATTAAATTATATTGTCGTGATACAGAAAAAGTAAAATCTCCACCAAAAAGAATTTTTCTTCTTCCAATATAATTCTCTTTACTTATGTGATAGTAAAACATTAGACATTTGTATCGACATCTGATGGAATTTAAATGTACCTCAAAAGCAAGATCACTAGATATATAACACAATGGATGAAAATAAAAAGAACCAGACAAATTATGTAAGTGCATAGCCATACATGTAGTAGCTTTGGAAATCCATGAAGATCTACAAATGAACACAGTGAAATAAAAAGTGGAATACCAAATAATTAAGAAAATTAGGAAACCACGCTAATGAATCTACTAGGTAGTAGCGAAACTACACAGACTGAAAAGATACATGGTCCTAACTCTACCAGACAGACCTGGCCACCTAGTAGAATGTCTTTTTGCCACATTGCTCGTCTCTCTGAATTGCTTATCCCATCTCCTGATGCTCTTCTCATCAGGTGGTTTCACACCATACTCACATTTGAATTCATGCTGAACTAGAATATTGGATTCACATTTTTGTGCTATAAGACAGTCTGTGCTTTCTACTGTGTGCAGCTTGTGTCAGTGAAACTGTTTTACAGTTACGCTACAAGCACAACATTGTCATGTCTGTTTTCATTCCTGACTTGCTCCTTGTTTTACCTACCACTGTAGGTGCATCTGTACAAATCTTTCTCTTACAAAAGAAGACTATTAGAATAATAATGGGGATGAAACATAGAGTCATTTAGGCCAGCATTTATAAAGTTAAATAAATTATGGGGCTCAACACCAAGACTGACTGACTGACTGACTGTCAGTTGCAATGTGACTTTGACTTCGACTTGTCGAGGCGGTTATGAGTTACAAGTTATGAGTATTGAGCAGTTGAGAGCGGCGGAAGCAGGTGCAAATGTGCAACGATGCATGCAACAGTGGATTAGAAGATCTGGTGTATGTAAATCAATGGTAGCGCTGTGTATCTGAGGGTAACTGAGAGAGTGTGTGTAACCAGGCTGTCAATAAATCAAATCATCCGAACAAGAACCCATCATTTTGTCACACGTACCCCCTACATGTGACAATATTATTTTGTTGCAAATTTATTATACGTAATCTGCAGAATCTGCAATAAATATTGTGATGTGTTGCGCTAAGGAGGACGCCAGCGGTGATGTGCCGTGCGGAGCCGAAGTGAGCCGAGTCCAAGCACGCTGGTCGCTATGCAAAGCGAGTAAACAGCGGTGCTGTAACATTGGATGCCACGGTTGCTATGCAGCCGTAAACAACTCCCGACAGCGCATTGTCAATAACACCTGTAAACACGGCGTCAGACAACAGTGGTGCCTATTACATAACTGTTTTCCCATTGTCCGGCTGAGGGTTTATAAGAGACCTACACTGCCTACGGAGTGAGTTAAGTGTATCAGTCGCCGAAGTGAGTTCTCAAGGCAGCAGCCCACAAAGTTGAGTTGAATTGTAGTAGTCACCCAGTTCAGTTGTAACGACTGAATCGTGATAGTGTGAAGAGATTTGTGTGTAGGGTTTGTAAACTGTGGAAACAAGCAACAGTGTTGTAATTAATTGTAGCCAAGACTTGTAGGTTGTTAAATAAACCAATTAAGAATCCAAACGGTGTCTTCAGTAACGAAACACGTTACACTGGTGTCAGAAGTGGGATTGGACTTACACACGTGATCAACAAGATTTGAACTAAACAAGTTACAATATATATGTTCAATAAGTATTGGCTCGTGAATAAGTTATGCCCAGTGACATAACTCATACTTTTCGTTTGTTCGCTTAGACATCTTTTTAGTTCTTGTTTTGGGGTTTTACTCAGGTCTGTCTGGTAGAGTTAGGACCATGTCGTTTCGCTACTGCCTAGTAGATTCATTAGTGGGGTTTCCTAATTTTCTTAATTATTTGGTATTCGACTTTTTTATTTCACTGTGTTCATTTGTAGATCTTCATGGATCCTGTGGTTGTTTATGTACCATGCTGCGTTCAGAATGGCTTGGAGAGTCTTGGATTAAGTGCTGGAGGATTTCAATGTTGGAATTGGAGACTGTCCCCCATAGCTGGATAATGATGTTATGCAACCTGTTTCTACGGAATGGTTCAGTAAACACATTCACACAGCAACAAATATGCACACAATAGAAGAACTGTTTCTAAGCAACAGATCAGTAAACATATAATAGGGNAACAGAAAACACAGTTTCCAGCAACCCCTATTATATGAAGAAAGCAGTCTTCTGGGATTTGGCACCATGTATATGTGGTGTTAACCGACGTTTCGGAGGAACGTATCGCCTCCATCTTCAGGGTAGAAGAAAAAATATAAGAAATCTGCAAGCGAAGAGACCGTGAGAACCGGTAAAAGCAGTCTGCAGATTTCTTATATTTTTTCTTCTACCCTGAAGATGGAGGCGATACGTTCCTCCGAAACGTCGGTTAACACCACATATACATGGTGCCAAATCCCAGAAGACTGCTTTCTTCATATAATAGGGGTTGCTGGAAACTGTGTTTTCTGTTTGGTCCGTGCAAAGTGGTTATAATGAAGAGTTCAGTTGAGAAGAGTTAACACTAAGGGAAATGAAAGCTGGGGAGCCTCAAGTCTCAGGATCTGCACATGGCTTTAAAACTTCCATACATATCTGATCATATAACAAAATTATGCAGGCAACAAGCTGAAGTCATACAAAAACATGAAAATGCAAATGTTTGCAACACTGGACAAGACAAAGCACAACACAGGATGTATAAGAGACTTAAACTTGGAAGCAGTCAAGTATACGGTCATTCAAGTGACTAGACTGCTGCTGTAGCAGAAGCTACTAAAGTTAGGGCATGATCTGCTGTACTGAGTCTGGACTGACAGAGGGCTTATATATATCATATATACATCTTTAATAACATGTAAAGTGTAAATATATTGTTCATACTGACAACTGACTTATTACTGCTGACTGTGACTCTAATAAATGACCTGTCTTCTCGTCAGAGAGCGCGCCCCACATGGACAGGACAGTAACTGTCAAACAGAAACTCTAATAACTAATATGAGCCCCAGATGGGACTCAACACCAAGACAGACTCACTGACCGACCATCAGTTGCAATATGACTCTGACTTTGAGAAGTTAATCGGCATCGGGAATTCTTAGGGAACAGTTAGCTGGAATTGGGAATTAAGATAGCAGTCAAAGATGATAGCAAGAAATAAATTAGGCTGTAAAAAGAAGGCTTCATGTGTGATGCAGTTACAGTGAAAATGGTAAAGATACTGCTAAAATCCATTCCCAGGATATGACTAAGAAAGTCAGAGAATGCTAGTGTGTGTGGGTGAAATGGTGGACTGTGTGTAGAAATAGTGATAGTGCTATAACTGTCTGTAGTTAAGAGTGCCGTGTATAAGGTGTCAATAAATCCAAATCATCCAATCCAAAAACTGTCTAAGTCATGCACACCCTTATACGTGACAATACTTTCATTTTCGCAGAAATCAAGGGATTGTTACTTCAATGCAGATTTTATTTATGAATAGAAAATAATCTACCAATTTTAAATAAAATAAAAGTAAAAAATAAACAAATCCTATCTCATACTTGTGTCACATAAGCAAGAGTATCTTTCAACCTCACCTTGTGTGAGTACCATAGCTCAAGCTGTTAGTTGCTGGCTTCCCACCGCGGTGGCTCGGGTTCGATCCCGGGTCTGGTCAAGTGGGATTTGTGGTGGATAAAGTGGCACTGGGGCAGGTTTTCTCCGAGTACGTCGGTTTCCCCTGCCAATCTTCATTCCACCAATTGCTCCACAATCACCGTCGCCTATCATCTGGGGCTGGTACAATAGGCCAAAAGTGGCCGCAGTACAAGGGACTCAGTCCCACCCCACTAGCAATAAAAAAAAACCTTCACTTTGTGAAGTAGAATAACAGTAGATGGTATTTAATTTGGAGGACATCAGAAATAACCAAGAACTTTACTTTAACATGGCAGTGTTTATATTTCTGTACAATATGCCTCAGAGTGGGGAGGTGAGGGCATTATTTAAATAAATATATTACATTCTGCAGCAACTGATATGATGAAGAGTTAAAGTGACACATTGTATGATGCAGCAGTAGTTTTAATCGGTATTAAGTTAAATTTAACTTTAATTTAAATCTTAACTTTTGAATATATATATATATATATATATAGATTAATTAATAAACTTCATTACAAATAACGAAGAACATTTTCAGACAAATGCGGATGTACACAGTGTTAACACAAGACACAAACACTGTCTTCATAAACCAATTGCTAATCTCTCATGCTTTCAGAAAAGCACATATTATGCTGGGATCAACATTTTTAATAACCTGCCATCTGATCTCAAAGGTCTTATGAATGAAAAGGCACAATTTAAAATAGCACTGAAACGATACTTAAATACACGTTCATTCTACCCTGTTGATGAATACCTACTGTCTAGATAATAACTTATGCATCTTTAAATAGCCTTGTGTGTAGTCACTGTGTATTCTTGGTTTCTCTTGTGTGAGAACTCCATTGGGACTGTACATATGTTTTGTATTTATATGACATATTCCACATCCTAGAGTCATTTTGACTAACTTCGGATCCATGGAATGCAATGTAATGAAATGTAATGTAACACTCAGTGACCCCTAATGGATATCAGAAGGTCCTGATTAGCAATGGCTGATGACTGGATAAACAATGGAGAAGTACCATAAATCATTACTGGTCATGAGAATTCTAATTCTAAAACACCCCTCCCTTTCTCCTGCAAAGAAACACCAATGTTAGCATAACTGGGATTTGGCTAGTCTGCTTTCCAAACTATTAAATTGTCTGAAACAAACTTTCTTTCTTTCACTGTAGATAATTATACAAAGAACACATATAAAATGTGTTGCCAGAGTAACATGAACTTAGCTCTCTTTCGTACCTGTTCATAAAGATCAATCAGCTTCTTGTCTGGAAGTTTGAGTGACTGTATTGCCTTAAGGACTGTATCCCAGTGTCCATTGTTGATGTCTGATACAAAACCTTCCACACTATCAACGGTGTTCAAGGAAACTCCAGTCTCTTCCTAAGATGTATATAAAAAACATCAAATGAACATAAAACATCTTGTTACCCTTAAAAATTCCCCAGCTGAAGTGGATGTAGTTTTGGGGCTACTTTAGTAAATTTCATTGCCTCTATATTTCCATATATATATATTACACATCTTTATAACACAGTAACCTGTTGCATCGTATCATTTTGAATGGTTTACTTCAAAATCTACCAAGCGAATACTGTTAGTTACCTGTAATGTCTGTAATGTACGAATTAAATTCGACTCTTTCAAGTACTGCTGAATCAGACGTATAACACTGCAAGAAAAATTAGCGTTCTAAATATGTGGCCTTTAATAACATTATATAATATAACCTACAACTAAAAAAATGAAAAATTACGTACTCTGCTGATTCGATTTCGATAGACATGTCTAATCACGTAGTCACAAATTTGAACGGTACTTAAAATAATACAAGCTACTGTTCTGTTACAAAACCACGTTCATCAATCGATTCGCCCTTAAAATCATGCATTACAATTCCTATTGCTCTTGTTTACGTAGGGCCGCCCCCTTTGTCTAGATCGGTCTAGATCAGCCCCGTGAACCCCGTGAAACTACCATGTTATTGGTTTGCAACATGGCCGCCATGACACCTCGGTTCAATGCTGCTGCCATCTCTACGCAGATTATATGAACTAAATTTAAAATGGCCTCCAGGGCCGAGATCACAATCGGTAAGAAGGTATGCTACCTTAACAACTAGTTTGAGTGCTCGCCCCCCCCCCAATGCTTTTTTCGCTACTAGCAATAAATACTTTTACAACCAGATCTATTGTACTGCAGAGTCTCTTTCCTTCTGGCTTTCCCACCAATATCCTATATGCATTCCTCTCCTCCCCCATTCGTGCTGCATGCCCTGCCAACCTCATCCTCCTCGACTAGTGATATTGAACACAGTTCAGAAATAGAAATAGGTCTAGATTGTAAGCAAAGCGAAACGCGGAACAGCGAAGTGTACAAACATAAAAAATGTATGTGTTGTTTAGTTACAGCGGTTACATGTATTGCGTATCTCAGCAGTTCCCTGTTTGTTCCACTATTTTGCATATTTTCCATTTTTGAAGATGAAATAGTCTGTAATAAGAATTTAATTTTGAATCAATAATTAAGACGACTAGTGAAAGCAGACTGAGAAGGCTTAGCATGTGCTCTAGTGAATTTTAAAGTGTGTAGACTAGCGGCAGTAGCTTTCAGTTCCGAGTCAATAAGTCGTGGCAGTATGAGCTCTGCACCATGTATGAAAAATAAATGTATTGTCGCTTGTTGCCTATGCAGCGCGACAAATAACTTCACGTGGGTCTCGGGTTTGGTGAACACGTTTATTATCCACACTTACAGTCACGAGTACAATTATTATCCACTTATAGCGTCGCCAGTATCACAATTGCACACGGGGATGGAATATCTGTCAAAGTCAAGTCAAAGTTACATTGCGACTGACGGTCAGTCAGTCAGTAAATGTTGGTGTCGAGCCCCATCTGGGGCACATGACCAGATATTAATTATTACTGTTTGACAGTTACGGTCTTGTTTTTATGGGGGGCCTTCTCTGACGAGAGGACGGGTCTGTCTTTTGCATATGCTGCTAGCCCTTGCCAGCGCGGTCTTTCTCCGGTCCGAGTCCCTTGGGACTCGGACCATATTGTCACGTGTTGGGTAAGTCACGTGACAAATAACTTCACGCCGTCAAGAGTGTAGCGAATATTTATTGTGCTTCGCTTCTACAATCACACACTTTACACTTATTATCGCTTGCAGTGTCACAATTACTTCTTCTACTATATCTCGGAGAATACTAGACTGCCATCTGGCCCAATGCTCAACTTCCGTTCGAGGACGGACCATTTTTCTAGGCCGCACGCGGACTCAATATCGGACACCCCTCGTCAAGGTTCGATTTCACGTGTTCAGCAATCCGTTGCTTTGGGAACGCTCTTTATAGAATACACCGGTAAAGTGTTTCGTCTCATCCGTTGTTACTCAACGGAAATTCGTTGCTTGGGGTTTCCTGCGCAACGGCCTATTGTTATTCATTTGTCACTGTGGGAACTCAACAATTTCCACGTATTCGTTGTCGCGGAAATAACACGTTACAATATTTTACTGTCTCAGATTTGAGACTTCCCTTTCGTCGCCTCCTACGACTCGTAGGGTCACGGCGGAGGTATTCGAGCCCGCCTCCATACGGGGGTATGTTCAGTCCCCTTATACGTATATTCGTTGTTCGGACTGCTTAGCGAACTCCGTCTTCAACAGTTCGGTTTTCCCGCTGCGACGCGACGAACCCTCTGTTGTCCATCTCCAAGGAAACTCGTTTGTTTCTTCGGCAGTCTCTACGCAACGGTATGTTGGTATTCGATTTGTCGCTGTGGGAATTCAAAGATTGCCACTTATTCGTTGTCTCGGAAGTATGTGTTCCCGTTCTAGCCGTTGCGCTGGGGTGGATGTACTGTAACATGTCACAGTATATTATGTGGAAATTCGACCAGATCATAATGATACGTAATCCTGGAAAACCAGCCAATATTGAGATTGCTACCAGGTGAAATCAGGTATACCGTAAGGAAGCATGATGGGGCCTCTGCTATACTTAATCTGTACTGCAGACTTTCCCATAACAAACAACACTACAATCGCAACCTTCGCGTATTGCTAGCAGCAAATAATGATCCAGTAGTAGCATCACAACATCTTCAGCATCACTTAACCTCCTCCAGCAATGGTACAACAAATGGGAAATCAAAATCAACCAGACAAAATAAGTGCAAGTTACATTCGCCACGCAACGCATTTCAGGTTATCATCAATAATAAGCAAATATCAGTTCAAACCGAAGTAAAATGCTTGGGATTATACCTCGACGAAAGCTGACATGGCAGAAACACGTCAAGACAAAGCGTCAGACATTAAACTTAAAACTACGAGAAATGTCCTGGCTTTTGGGCTGTAAATCCACTCTATCCCTAGAAGACAAACTTCTACTATACAAGTGTATAATAAAACCTATATGGACATATGGTATCCAGCTATGGGGCTATACAAAACCATCAAACACGAAAATAATTCAAAGACTTCAATCCAAATTCTTGAACTCAGTAACTAAAGCACCTAGGTATGTCTCCTAATTTACTATGCACAATGATTTGCAAATCCAATTTGTCATAGAAGAAATACATAGATTGTCAACACTCTACCATCAAAGCATAGTCGGACACAATAACCCGCAGATGAGGAAGGAGCCAGTGGCCGTCTGACCTACCACAACCCGCAGATGAGGAAGGAGCCAGTGGCTGTCTGACCTACCACAACCCGCAGATGACGAAGATTAAAACCATCACCATTCCTCTACAGGGCCTGTCAGAGCATCAGTGGATGCCTTCTCTACTCAAGACGCCTACTTAGAAGAAATTTAATATTACTCCATATTATCGAGAGTAGGTTGTAAATATGCTATTAATTAAATACAAAATATAGGCCCGGTTGTTCTGTATGTCCACATGCTTAACACGAGATCTGCAGGACGTATCTTAATGTAACATTACGCTACTGCACACTATTGCAAATCCATAATTCTTATGCAGGATTTGAGGTTCTGACAGCTGTGGTTTATCATGTATGACAAGTTTCAAAGCATGCAATTTCTGCTGAAGTATTTCTTGCTTCTTGTTAATATAACGTCTAGTGGTCAGAGTTCCTGACTACAGATCCAGAGGTCCAGGTTCGAATCCCGGCGCTGCAAGATTTTTTTCTGAGTAGTGGTGGGTCTGGAACTGGGCCCACTCAGCCTCGTGAGGATAACTGAGGAGTTATTTCAAGGAAATAGCAGCTCCGTCTAGAAACCTGAGATTAACGGCCGTGAGGATTCTTTGCGCTGACCACGTGACACCCTCTGTCTGCAAAAGTTGGCACCAAGTTCGCCGACAAGCGGCGGTCGCTCGGTCGGTATATTTCGCTTACGGACTATAGGCCACGGAGAGTTTAGCCAGACTGGACTCTCGGTTTCCACAAAGGCTTAGTTGTGTATGTATGTATGTATGTGTGTTGTGATATGACGCCTGAAAGGCGGAATAGTGGAACGATTTGAAACGGTCTTTGCTAGGCAGCGGCGTGGTGAACACTACCGCGGCAACGGACTCAGCAGAAGAAGACATGATATCTTATATATGGTCACTGCTAGACAACGGCGCGATGAACGAATCAACCCGCAACGAGACGTCTAACAGACGAGACAGCAGACTTCGAACACAGAACATGCAAAGGGATCCACATTATTGAATGCCGTTACCACACAGCGTTGACGTCAAGACACAGTAGTTCGGACAGTACTTCAGAGTAAGCGGTATCCAGAAGATTCAGCTACCAATCCGAGCTTTGTGACTGATATCAATACACCGTGACACCTCAAGCGGTGAGTGAATCGAATTATAGATTGCCTAATAGTATATTAAATAATATAAATATATTATATATAATTTATTTAATTTCACGGTGACTTGGTCTGATTGTAGAAAGTCTTCAAGATTAATATTATAAAAGGTTTTATGCATAAATTTACTAAAGCCCAAGTGTGCCGAATGATAGTCCGCTGAGAGTAAAGAAGACTGCTTTCAATTCTTTCTATACATTCAGTTTGTGACGCGGTAAGTCGGGCGGGACGAGGACGATTGCACATCAAGGGGAAAAACAAACTGGCTTTTATATAATAACTGAACGACGCTGTGAACAGAGCAGTCGTTGACACGAAGAAATATTTTTATGCAATCATTAACCGACACCAGGAGATGGTCAGTCGTTAGGCTGTGGAAGGTCAAGCCGATTATTGACACCAGTGGATGGTCAGTCGTTAGGCTGTGGAAGGTCAAGCTGCTTATTGACACCAGGGGATGGTCAGTCGTTAGGCTGTGGAAGGTCAAGCTGATTATTTCAAAAGTTTTTTATATATTCGTTTCATGAAGCGGTAGCCATGTCAAAAGGCATGATAAATATTATAAACGTGTATTTTTATAAATTACTTACATAAAGACACCGAAAACTTTTCAGATTGTAGAACTGTCCAATCCACTCTGAACGCATCTGGATACATAAACAACCACAGGACCCATGATGATCTACAAATGAACGTGGTGCTTAGTGAAATAAAAAAGTATAATACCAAATACCTAAGAAAATTAGAAAACCACACCAATGCACTAGCAGTGAACCTACTAGACAATAGCGAAACTACACACAGATTGAAAAGATACGCCGTCCTAACTCTACCAGACAGATCTGAGACACCAATACAAGAATTAAAACGATAACCAAGTGAACAAAAAGAAAAGTATGAGTTACGTCACTGGGCATAACTTATTTACGAGCCAATACTTATTGAACATTTATTGCAGATTCTGCACATTACGTATAATAAATTTACAAAAAAATAATATCGTCACGTGTAGGGGTACGCGTGACGAAATGACGGGTTCTAGTTCGGATGATTGGATTTATTGACAGCTTGGTTACACGCACTCTCTCAATTACCCTCAGATACACAGCGCTACCGTTGATCTACATACACCAGATCTTCTAATCCACTGTTGCACGGACCGTCGCACATATGAAGTCTTCTAAATCACGCCTGGCATTCATAGGTCCATGGCGTCTGCTTCCGCCGCTCTCAACTGCTCAATACTCGTAACTTGTAACTCGTAACCGCCTCAACAAGTCAAAGTCAAAGCCACATTGCGACTGACAGTCATTCAGTCAGTCAGTCTTGGTGTCGAGCCCAATCTGGGGCTCATGACCAGATATTTATTACTGTTTGGCAGTTACGGTTTTGTTTTTGCATATGTTACTGGCCGTCGACAGCGCACTCTTTCTTAGGTCCTAGTCTGTTGGGACTCCCGACCATATTTTACTGTCTCAGATTTGAGACTTCCCTTTTCGTCGCCTCCTACGACTCGCAGGGTCACGGTGGAGGTATTCGACCCCGCCTCCCCAGGGGGGTTTGACGAGTACTCTCGTTATGTAGCTTCCGCACTGACCACACAGAAAAGGTGTTTACCGATTGCCTAGCAAGAGTCGCTGCACGGACTCCCCTGTTGCGTGACGTCACAGCCTATCGTGGAGGGGTGTTTACCGAGCGTTGTTACGCAATAAACACTCGTTGCTACGGATATTGCTACGGTACAGTCTCAATAATTTCCATTGTTTCGTTGCTCAGCAATGGACGATATATAACACGTTACAATATTTATGATGCAGCTTGACGCAGTTACCGCTTCATGAAACGAATATAAAGAACACGTTTTTATAATCAACTTAACCGTCCACAGTCTGACGACTGACCAATTCCCAGCGTCGTTTACTGATTGTGTAAAAATATTTCTTCCCAGCGACTGCCCCATTCACAGCATGAGAAAGAACGTAATACATTTGCACCGTAATGGGAAGTTAAGACATAGAATATCTAAGAAAGTACAGTACTATAGGAACGTTACTAGTATATAACTGAAGAAACGGTATCAGTAACAGATATACCAGAAAGTAAACACAAATAATTATAGAAACATTATGATAACAGATATTATCCAGAAATTAAATTCAAGTAATTGTAGAAACGTTACTAACAACATATACCAGAAACTAATTCAAATAACTATATAACGGTACGAAAGCCAGATTATCCAGAAAGTAAATTCATCTAACTATGGAAACGTTATTAGTAACAGATACTGGATATGTCTGAAAGTGAACCTAAATAACTTTACAAACCTTACTAGTTATATCAGAAAGTAAATTTTGCTGTTCGATCCATTGATCTGTCGGTTGGTTGAATTTCTGCTGGCCTTTGTTAGCACAGTCATTCCTGGTTTCAGTAGCCTCGAGATTCATGACCAAGATGGTCCTCCAGGTTCGAGGAGTCTCAAATCTGAGAGAGTAAAGTATGGTGACGAGTCCTGAGAGAATCTGACCTTAGAATGACCAGCAGCAGTTGTATAAGACACACTCGTCCTCTCGTCAGAGAGGGCACCCCATATAAAGAAGCCCCGGAATATGTGATGACAGTAATACAAATCTGGACTTGGGGCCCAGATGGGTTCTGGACACCAAGACAGGCTGGCCGACTGACCGTTTGTTGTAATAACTTTGACTTTGACAGAATCCAAAGCGACCTGACGTCGTAAGAGCACCTATGTAAATAGACCGACCCATCCTCCCTTTGTCAGAGAGGAGGCTCCATTTTGAGACACGTACATGTCTAGGAGAGAATAAAAATCTTGGTCATGAATCTCGAGGATGCTGAAACCAGGAATGACTGTGCTAACAAAGGCCAGCAGAAATTCAACCAACCGACAGACCAATGGATCCAACAGCAAAATTTACTTTCAGATATAAATAGTAAGGTTTGTAAAGTTATTTAAATTCACTTTCAAACATATCCAGTATCTGTTACTAATAACGTTTCCACAGTTACATGAATTTACTTTCTGGTATAATATCTGTTCTTAGTACCGTTCCTATAGTTATTTGAAATTACTTTCTGGTACATATTGGATTTTTTTTTCAATTTATCTAATCCTTCCAGATGCACTATGGCCCTGGGGTCGACTCAGCCTCTAACAGAAATGAGTAGCAGGGATATTCTTGGAATGTTCTTGGGGTTAAAGGGCGGCCGGCGCGAAGGTCTGACAACCTTACCACCGTCTATGAGCCAATTGTCTAGAAAATGTGGGAACCTCAACATCTCACGACTCTATGGGCCTCCACGGCCCGTTACAGGGATACCTTTACTTCATTTTTTTATACGTTATTAGTAACGTTTCTACAATTACATGAATTTACTCTCTGGATGGACCGATACTATCCACTGTGACTGACAAATGACAGACCTGACCTCTCGTCAGAGAGGGCGCCCTGCGTGGACAGGACAATAACTTTCATTTAAAAAGTAACCTCTGGTCATAAGCCCCAGCTGGGGCTCGACACCAAGAAAGACTGACTGACCGTCAGTCGCAATGTGACTTTGACTACTTTCTGGATAATATCTGTTATCATAATGTTTCTATAGTTATTTGTTTTTACTTTCTGGTATATCTGTTACTGATACCGCTTCTGCAGTTATTTGAATTATTTTCTGCTGTAATACTAGTCACGTTCTTATAGTCAATTGAAATTACTGTACTTTGTTAGATATTCTATGTCTTAACTTCCCATTACGATGCAAAGTATGTATTACGTTCCTTCTCATGCTGTGAATGGGGCAGTCGCTGGGAAGAAATATTTTTACACAATCAGTAAACAACGCTGGGAATTGGTCAGTCGTCAGACTGTGGAAGGTTAAGTTGATTACAAAAATGTGTTTTATATATTCGTTTTATGAAGCGGTAACTGCATCAAGCTGCATAATAAATATTATCTTTTCCGCACATTTATTATATGTAATCTGCAGAATCTGCAATAAATATATATGTTCAATAAGTACCGGCTCGTGAATAAGTTATGCCCAGTGATGTAACTCATAATTTTCTTTTGTTCTCTTAGGTACCATTTTAATTCTTATATTGGGTCTTTACTCAGGTCTGTCTGGTGGAGTTAGGATGGTGTACCTCTTCAGTCTACGTGTAGTTTTGCTACTGTCAAGTAGGTTCACTGCCAGTGCATGAGGGTGGTTTCCTAATTTTCTTAAGTATTTAGTATTCCACTTTTCTGTTTCACTGAGCACTGTGTTCATTTGTAGATCTTCATGAATCCTGTGGCTGTTTATGTACCCAGATGCATTCAGAATAGATTGAAAGTGCTGTACGATTTCAATGTTTGGATTGGAGTCCGTCCCCCATAGCTGAATTCCATATATCCACATGGGTTTAAGTGCTGCTTTGTATAGGAGGAGTTTGCTTTCTGTTGATAGTGTTGATCTTCTTCTGAGTAGCCTGTTCATTTATTTCGCTTTTCGGCTGAGCTGTTTTCTTTTGGTTTTGACGTGCTTCGCCCATGTCAGTCTTCTATCACGATGCATGCCTAGGTATTTCACTTCATTTTTCTGAGGTAGATCAACATGTGCCCATTTGCACTGTCCGAGAGCTGTGGTATGGTGAACGTAACGTGCGTGGATTCACTTTATTTTAATTCTCCATTTCTTCGCTCAACCATCGATCTTACTGATGGTGGCTTGGAGTTTCATTGAGGGTATCGCTGGATCTTCACATGTGTCTAAGATTGTTGCAACATCGGCGAAGGTAGCAGTTGTTGTGTTGTCTGACGTCGGAGGTCGCTTGTGGAGATAAGGTATAGGACGGTTCCTAAGACACTTCCTTGTGGTACGCCTGCTTCAGTTTTCCTTAACGCTGTGATTTCGTCTTTGAATTTTCCTTGAAATAGTCTCTCTGTTAGATATAATACTAATATACAGGTCATGTACTGGCACAA